AAAAAAAAAAAAAAAAAAAAGAAAATACAAAAACTATTTTTATAAAGTTCAGGAGCCATATAAAAACAAGTGTCTTGGCCCACGGGCTATAGTTTGCAACACGTAATCCAGTGAAGAAGGGGCCTGGAATTTCTCTCAGGTGATTTGGGTCCTGGCTCTGCCTTCACTGGCTGTGTGACCGTGAATACATCTTCCCATTTCCTTGGGTCTCACTTGTCTCCTTTGTGTGCCATAAGGAGGAGTCTTGAGTTCCCCCATGCTTCTGGCACTTCCTAGTTCTGTGATTCTGGTTGATTCCTCAGTGACTGTACACTAGGGCTGCCTAATCTTTTCTTTGCATGTTAACAAGGAAACCGCAGAAACTCATTTTATACAAATGAAATTCTTGAAATCCATTTACTCCACGTTCAGTTGCATTGTATTGGGCGCTACATTTATAGGGACATACACATACTTTTTTTTTTTTTTAATTTAACCGCTATAGGATTATGGCAACATTGTTACATTTCATACATACATATTCATACCATTTGTCTTGTACCATTCCTGGTAGCAGAAATTGATAAAGGACTGCAGGGAGACCAGGGGCTGGGCATGAGAATGAGAGAGGATCCCAAGATATTTTAGGACTCCAAGTAGTGAAGGAGGAGCTGGCTGTGGAACTGGAGCAGGGACGGAGGGCAGATGATATGAAATCTGAGTTCTAGAAGGAATCCTTAGTTTTGACCATCCCCGGGTTCTCACAGGGTTCAGAAGAAGAAGGAGAAGGGGAAGAAGAGGAGGAGGAAGGAGGAGAGTCTAAGTCAGATGATCCCTATGCTCACCTTAGCAAAAAGGAGAAGAAAAAGCTGAAAAAACAGGTAAGACCTTGGTTCTTAGCAGTCAAAAGTAAGGGGATTAATTTTTGAATACTTCAACTAGAGGACATGTGATTGGGGACAGGAAGGAAAGCTTTGGGGGCTACTCTAGGTAAAACCATTGGAGTAAGAAAATGATTGTGTTCTGTGAGCCTTATCTCAATGTCTGGTTACATGGGCTGTGTCACTTTGGGGTGTTTTTGTTTGTTTTTTTGAGACAGGGTCTCATACTGTTGCTCAGGCTGGAGTGCATTGACGTGATCTCTGCTGACTGCAGCCTCAACCTCCCGGGCTTAGGTGATCTTCCCACCTCAGCCTCCTGAATAGCTGAGACATGGGTGGCATCACCATGCCCAGCTAAGTTTTGTATTTTTTGTGGAGATGTGGTTTTGCCATGTTGCCCAAGCTGGTCTCAAATTTCTGCACTCAAGAGCTCCACCTGCCTGAGCCTCCCAGAGTGCTGGGATTACAGGTGTGAGTCAGCACACCCAACCAGCATGGGCTGTTTTATGGTGACGGGAAACTGGTAGATTATGGCTTTAAATATAGTTTTTTTTCCTTCGCAGATGGAGTATGAGCGCCAAGTAGCTTCATTAAAAGCAGCCAATGCAGCTGAAAATGACTTCTCCGTGTCCCAGGCAGAGATGTCCTCCCGCCAAGCCATGTTAGAAAATGCATCTGATATCAAGGTTAGGTCTCAGGGGGCCCCTTCTAGTTTACTTACCTAGGGAAGAGCCAGTTCTCTCATCTTTCCTGAGTGGCTGTGGTATGCGAATGGGTTAGTTCAGTGGGAAGAAAGATTGGAGACATTTTCCACACCTTGGGCTCTGCCAACTTGAGCAAGAAGATAGAAAAATCAGTAGAAGTGGGGTCTACCCTCAGCAGAAAATAGTGTGGGACAGACTAGACTAGCTGAGGATGCATGGGACTCCCATTACAGGCAGTGGACAGGGCGGGGACCGGCTGTGGGGAGAGGAAGGGGATTATGCTGGAGGTAATGGTTTGTCAGAGGCTTCTCTGCAGGGAGAAAGTGGCTGCTCCTGTCCCAAAGGGAGAATTTTCATGTGCTCCTCTCCCCTCTGCCACCTCTTTCCTGATGGCTACAGCTGGAGAAGTTCAGCATCTCAGCTCATGGCAAGGAGCTGTTCGTCAATGCAGACCTGTACATTGTAGCCGGCCGCCGCTACGGGCTGGTGGGACCCAATGGCAAGGGCAAGACCACGCTTCTCAAGCACATTGCCAACCGAGCCCTGAGCATCCCTCCCAACATTGATGTGTTGCTGTGTGAGCAGGGTGAGGCCAGTGGGGAGAAAAAGGGCTTGGTGTGATGGGCAGTTGGGCAGAAAAGCCAGCCAAGAATAGAAGAAATTGTGGCTATGGAGTTGGAAAGGATGTGGAGGGAGACTGGGGACCAGGAAAGGGATGCTAACGAAAGGAGGGGAGAGTCAATGAGGAACTTGAGAATGTTTCATTTGCAACAAGTACAAAGAGCTGAGCAGGGTCAGGCGAAGCAGAAATGCAACTGAAGAGAGAGGGATGAGACTTTTGGCTCTTGAGGCTGCCTGACTGTTTTCCCTCTGCTTCCCAGAGGTGGTAGCGGATGAGACGCCGGCAGTACAGGCTGTTATTCGAGCTGACACCAAGCGATTGAAACTACTGGAAGAGGAGCGGCAGCTTCAGGGACAGCTGGAACAAGGGGATGACACAGCTGCCGAGAGGCTAGAGAAGGTGTATGAGGAATTGCGGGCCACTGGGGCAGCAGCTGCAGAGGCCAAAGCACGGCGGATCCTGGCTGGCCTGGGCTTTGACCCTGAAATGCAGAATCGACCCACACAGAAGTTCTCAGGAGGCTGGCGCATGCGTGTCTCCCTGGCCAGGTGGGCCATTAACCTCGCTGCCCTCCCTTCCAATCTCAGACCACCAGGGCCCTTTCTCTTCTCCTCATTCTTCAAGGCCAATAGTGAGGCTCAAGGCTTGCCTCTCCCTCCTTACTGTGTTGTGAGAACTTAGGGTCTTTCTCTATTTCTCTCCCTCCCTGGTGGTGTGTTCTCATCAACATATCCTGCAGCTGGGTGCAATGGGTTACGCCTGTAATCCCAGCACTTTGGAAGGCAGAGGCAGGAGGGTATCTTGAACCCAGGAGTTCGAGACCAGGCTGGGCAACATAGGAGACCCTGTCTCTACAAAAAATTTTAAAATTAGCTGGACATGGTAGCATACACTTGTGGTCACAGCTACTCCGGAGGCTGAAGTAGAAGTGTCACTGGACCTGGGGGATTGAGGCTACAGTGAGCCATGATTGTGCCACCGCGTGCCAGCCTGGGCAACAGAGTGGGAGCCTGTCTTGGAAAAAATTAAACCACATCCTGCCCAAGAACTCTGAGGAGAGCTTGGGAAGGAGTGTTCATGGTCTCAGGCTCTATCTTCCTGTTTTCTCTGGGGTTGTACAAGCAAGGATCTTTCTCTCCCTGACCCTGCCCTCTGCTATCCACCCTCTAGGGCACTGTTCATGGAGCCCACACTGCTGATGCTGGATGAGCCCACCAACCACCTGGACCTTAACGCTGTCATCTGGCTCAATAAGTGCGTTGCCCGTGATTACAGCCTTTGCATCATTGGTCCCCATTCAGCACTTCCTTCCCCGTCTCTCCCTGCCTTCTTTTCCTTTAGCCCTTCTCCACTATGCCTGTGACAGCTCTATCCAGACCTCCCCCTTTCCCTCCCAGCCCCCATTGTCTGCCCCCATTATCTGCCTGCCTCCCCTGACTTATCTCTCACTTGACCATTGTGACACTTACACCCTCTTCTCTGAAACCCAGCTACCTCCAGGGCTGGCGGAAGACCTTGCTGATCGTCTCCCATGACCAGGGCTTCTTGGATGATGTCTGCACTGACATCATCCACCTCGATGCCCAGCGGCTCCATTACTATAGGGGCAATTACAGTAAGTAGGGTTGTATGTGGATACAGGGAAGAGACAGAACCTGAAGAGAGGCCTGGATGGGAGGGTGTATTTAGATAACCTGAGTCCTGTCAGAATTCCAGACAGCGATGCCTACCCCATCATCACCAGTCCCTGGTTGTCCCTTTTCTGGGGAGAGGAGCAACCACTGATGCCCAGTCCCCTCTTCTGCCCCAGTGACCTTCAAAAAGATGTACCAGCAGAAGCAGAAAGAACTGTTGAAGCAGTATGAGAAGCAGGAGAAAAAGCTGAAGGAGCTGAAGGCAGGCGGAAAGTCCACCAAGCAGGCAGTGAGCACCTGGGGGACTTCTGGGCAGCGGGGGCACTCTTCTCTCCTGACAGCGGAGGAAGAAGGAGACTCTGGAACACTGGCCCACATTTCATGGACTGCTGTGCAGAGTGCAGATTTCTCTTTTCTTCCTCTTCCTTTCTAGGAAAAGCAAACGAAGGAAGCCCTGACTCGGAAGCAGCAGAAATGCCGACGGAAAAACCAGGATGAGGAATCCCAGGAAGCCCCTGAGCTCCTGAAGCGCCCTAAGGAGTACACTGTGCGCTTCACTTTTCCGGATCCCCCACCACTCAGCCCCCCCATCCTGGGTCTGCATGGTGAGTGCTGTGGACTTCTGCTGCTCTGCAGGAAGCACCGGAAGCGGTGTGCACCCCAGATTCTCCACCAAGGCTGGGATTGCTCCTGTTTTCCAAAGCCAGCACATCAGAGGGACTGTGTGCGGACTGAAAACTATTGCTTCTTTTCCTGGCTTTCAGGTGTGACATTTGGCTATGAGGGGCAGAAACCACTCTTTAAGAACCTGGATTTTGGCATCGACATGGATTCACGGAGTGAGTTGGCAGGGGTGGCTCAGGGATGTGCAGCAGGAGCCACAGGGAGAGTCTCTGAGGACCTCTTTGACCACCTGTCTTCCATCTCGCAGTCTGCATTGTGGGCCCTAATGGTGTGGGGAAGAGTACACTACTCCTGCTGCTGACTGGCAAGCTGACACCGGTGAGTGCTGGAGCCAAGAAGGGAGAGCATGAGAAACGTGAAAACACGGGTGCTTGCCAGAAGCTGGAATCAGGGAGCTTCTCGAGAATGGAGAGTTCATCATAGATGATTCATTTCCCCAAGAGGGGCAGTAGAGGAGGAGAAGAGCTTAGATCAGTTCAGGAGAGCAAGAGAATTGGGATAGAATTGGGGTCACATCCATGTGTTTTGGTCATACGAGAAATATATGTCTATTATGGAACGATTAAAAATTGCATAAATGGCCGGGCGCGGTGGCTCAAGCCTGTAATCCCAGCACTTTGGGAGGCCGAGGCGGGTGGATCACGAGGTCAAGAGATCGAGACCATCCTGGTCAACATGGTGAAACCCCGTCTCTACTAAAACTACAAAAAATTAGCTGGGCATGGTGGCACGTGCCTGTAATCCCAGCTACTCAGGAGGCTGAGGCAGGAGAATTGCCTGAACCCAGGAGGCGGAGGTTGCGGTGAGCCGAGATCGCGCCATTGCACTCCAGCCTGGGTAACAAGAGCGAAACTCCGTCTCAAAAAAAAAAAAAAAAAAAATTGCATAAATGGGCCAGGCACGGTGGCTCATGCCAGTAATCCCAGCAGTTTGGGAGGCCGAGGCGGGCAGATCACCTGAGGTCAGAAGTTCAAGACCAGCCTGGCCAACATGGTAAACCCCTCCTCTGCTAAAAATACAGAAAACAGCCAGGTGTAGTGGCACACACCTGTAGTCCCAGCTACTCAGAAGGCTGAGGCAGAATTGCTGGAACCTAGGAGATAGAGGTTTCAGTGAGCTGAGGTTGCACCATTGCACTCCAGCCTGGGCAACAGAGCAAGACTGTCTCAAAAAAAAAAAATTGGCCTAGCACGGTGGCTCACGCCTGTAATCCCAACACTTTGTGGGAGGCTGAGGCAGATGGATCATTTGAGCTCAGGAGTTAAAGACCAGCCTGAGCAACATGGTGAAATCCCATCTCTACTAAAAATCCAAAAATTAGCCAGGCGAGGTGGTGAGCGACTATAGTCCCAGCTACTCGGGAGGCTAAAGGAGGAGAATTGCTTGAGCCCAACGGGTAGAGGTTGCAGTAAGCCAAGGTCATGCCACTACACTTAGCCTAGGTGCCGAGTGAGACTCCATCTCAAACATAAAAGCTTAAGTCCAGAGAAAAATCTTGAGATAACTAGTATAAATGTTTTAGTAGGTATCTTTCTCCTTTTTTCCTTTGCAAATGTGCATATAATTTTTTTAACAAAAATGGGCTGTCCTATGAATTGTTTTGCAGCTAGAGTTTTCCAAATAATATACATCATGCATTTTTCCATTCTAATAATATACAAACACTTACTTTGTTTGAATCTACCATTTAATTTGCACTTTTGTAATATAGTGCATTTCTGCTCCCTCAAGCAGAGGGTTTAGAGGCCATTTTCTCACATCCAGAGATTAGATCTTTAGAAAGATGTTATTAGATCCTCCCCAAAACTCTAAACACATGAGGCTGTTACAATGTATTGTGAGTCTTTGCTGTATAGAAAGCCGGTGTTTAGCTATGGTTAGTCCCTCCTGCTTGTCCCTTTTGTTCTCCCTGCATTCTGCTTCTCTGACTCCTCTTTGGCCCCTTACACTTTTACTTTGCTTAGTGTGCCTTTGTCGTATTAGGGAGAACATCCCTGTTCCTTCTCTCTCTCTCTCTTTTTTTTTTTTTTTTTTTGAGACAGTCTCAATCTATTGCCAAGGATGGAGTGCAAGTGGCATGATCTCAGCAACCTCTGCCTCAAAGAATTCTTGTGCCTCAGCCTCCTGAGTAACTGGGATTATAGGCGTTTACCACCATGCTCAGCTAATTTTTTTTTTTGTTTGTTTGTTTGTTTGTTTGTTTGTTTGTTTTTGAGTCAGAGTGTTATTCTGTCACCAGGCGCCAGGCTGGAGTGCAGTGGCACAGTTTCGGCTCACTGCAACCTCCGCCTCCCGGGTTCAAGCAATTCTCCTGCCTCAGCCTCCCAGATAGCTGGGACTATAGGCGCACGCCACCACGCCCAGCTAATTTTTGTATTTTTAGTAGAGACAGGGTTTCACCATGTTGGCCAGGATTGTCTCGATCTCTTGACCTCATGATCCACCTACCTCGGCCTCCCAAAGTGCTGGGATTACAGGCTTGAGCCACCGTGCCCAGTCCCAGCTAATTTTTTATTTTTAGTAGAGAGAGGGTTTCGCCATGTTGGCCAGGCTGGTCTCGAACTCCTGACCTCAAGTGCCTCCTGACCTGCCTGCCTTGGCCTCCCAAAGTGTTGCGATTACAGGATTATAGTGAGCCACCACGCCTGGCCCGTTCCTTTTTTTTTTCTCCTTATGCATACTTGTCCCTGGCCCACTTCTGATGTTTGTCTCCCCTTCAGAAAAGTTGGTGTATGGAGCTGCAGGGCCTTTTCCCCTTGCCCTCCTCTTAACTGCATTCTCTTCCCTTGCAGACCCACGGGGAAATGAGGAAGAACCACCGGCTGGTAAGTTGGCTTTGGGATTTAGGGAATAAAAATCTGATGGAGGAAGTGTGACTTTAAGTGACCACCTCCCTCTCTTCTTGGGCAGAAAATTGGCTTCTTCAACCAGCAGTATGCAGAGCAGCTGCGCATGGAGGAGACGCCCACTGAGTACCTGCAGCGGGGCTTCAACCTGCCCTACCAGGATGCCCGCAAGTGCCTGGGCCGCTTTGGCCTGGAGAGTCACGCCCACACCATCCAGATCTGCAAACTCTCTGGTACCATTGTGGGATCAGGGAGGGTGCCCTTCACCTTATCATTCATGTCTACAAACTGTACCTAGAGGAACCAGGAATGAGGAAGCTTCAGTACACAAACTGGCACATCTTCAGGGTTTGCCTCTAAAATGTGAGGTGGTAGAAGGTATGACAGCCCTCCCCTTCCTTTGCTGCAGGTGGTCAGAAAGCGCGAGTTGTGTTTGCCGAGCTGGCCTGTCGGGAGCCGGATGTCCTCATCTTGGTGAGTAAGCTGGGCTATGGGAGAGGGGTTAAGGGTAACAGTAATGGAAGATGGGAGTTGCCGTGCTCAGTCATGGAATTCCTCCTCTGTAGGACGAGCCAACCAATAACCTGGACATAGAGTCTATTGATGCTCTGGGGGAGGCCATCAATGAATACAAGGGTGGTAAGTCAGCTGAGAGTGTGCCCTCCCCTCATGGGGACCAAGCTGTAGTGTCCTTCACTACAAAAGGGCCTAGAGCTCTCTTATTTCATGCTCTCATTCCCCTCTTCCTCCTTTCTTCCTGCCCTCTGTTCTTGCCATCTTCCTTCAAAGCTGTGATCGTTGTCAGCCATGATGCCCGACTCATCACAGAAACCAACTGCCAGCTGTGGGTGGTGGAGGAGCAGAGTGTTAGCCAGATTGATGGTGACTTCGAAGACTACAAGCGGGAGGTGTTGGAGGCCCTGGGTGAAGTCATGGTCAGCCGACCCCGAGAGTGAGCTTTCCTTCCCGGAAGTCTTCCAAGAGACAAGCTTGTGTGGCTTGAAGTTCCCCGATGTCTCCCTTTCTCCTCTGAAGACTGCCTCTGACCTGCAGCTGACCTAGCAACCACTCAGGCACATGAAGGTGGAGTGTGACCTTGATGTGACCAGGATACCACTCTGATTGCATCCATTTCTCTGAAAGACTTGTTTGTTCTGATTTTCTTCAGATAACTGACCTGGCCTTATCCTTGGCATCCCTCTAAACAAACAGAGGTGACCACCTTGTTGTGAGGTTCCATCCAGCCAAATTTATGTGGCCAGTTGTCTGAAGACTCATCACTCGGAAGCCTGCCTCTGGTTCACCCTACAGCTTCAGGCCCAGCTGCCCCCTGGTCTTTGGGTGGTGCTGTTCTTTTCTGGTGGATTTAATGCTGACTCATTGGTACAAACAGTTGTAGAAGCTCAGAGCTGGAGTGAGGGTCTGAGGCCTTTGCCATTATCCAGCCCAAGATTTGGTGCCTGTAGCTTCTTGTCTAGTTGAGGACTTGGGGGCAGGAAAGGAATGCTGCTGAACTTGAATTTCCCTTTACAAGGGGAAGAAATAAAGGAAAGGAGTTGCTGCCACATGTCACTCTTTGGAGATTGATGGGAGTTGGAACTACTCTGTCTTGATTTGCGTTATTCAATTTTCTAGCAGCTTTTAACAGTCCTTTCTTCCCTACTAAGGCAGATGAATCTTATTTGCAGTCTTGCCGAACTTTAGGCAGGGTTTCCTGTTTGAGGATCATAGGATCCCTTTCCCTCGACCCTTCACACAAGGAAAAAGGACAGTGATTCATACTCTGCCTCTTGGAACTTGAGTCTCTTTCCTCCCCGCCCCTCACCCCCCACATCCCCCAAGTTCGAGTGATTCTCCTGCCTAAGCCTCCCGAGTAGCTGGTATTACAGGTGCACACCACCAGGCCCAGCTAATTTTTTGTATTTTTAGTAGAGAAGGGGTTTCACCATGTTGGTCAGGCTAGTCTTGAACTCCTGACCTCAAACAATTCACCCACCTTGGCCTCCCAAAGTGCTGGGATTACACCTGTGAGCCAGTGTGCCCAAGTTCGTGTGTGTGTGTTTGTGTGTGTTTTGTTTTGTTTTTTGAGATAGGGTCTTGCTCTGTTGCCCAGGCTGGAGTGCACTGTAGCCTCAACCTCCTGAGCTCAAGCAATCCTTGCACCTCAGCCTCCTGAGTGGCTGGGACTACAGGTGCATACCACCATACTCAGCTAATTTTTTATTTTTAGTAGAGGCAAGGTCCTGTTATATTGCCCAGGCTGGTTTCAAACTCCTGGCATCAAGCAATCTTCCTGTCTTAACCTCCTGAGTGGCTGGGACTATAGGCACGTGCCACCACATCCAGCTAAGTTTTTATTTTTAGTGGAGACTGTCTTGCTATGTTGCCCAGGCTGGTCCTGGCACTCTTCCTGCCTCAACCTCTCAAAGTGCTGAGATTATAGGCGTGAGCCACCACGCCTAGCCAGAATTTGGGTTTCGTCCAAGCTAATCTCATGAATGAGGAGGTGCTTTGCTCTGTGGTCAGAGACCAGAGTATTGATCCTCTCAAAGTTATTAAATCATCCAGCCAACATGTACAGTACTGTGGGGTATACACAAGAAGGGAAAACACAAGATCTGCCTTCATTAATAGTCTGGTTAGAGAAGACTTAAAAATAAGCATAAACCGATCATGTAATTTGATTAATTGCCTAATATATAGTACTCTAGCTTCTAAGTTGCCACATACTCAAAAAAAAGGGGAAGATTGTCCAGGGCTTATTTGGCAGAGTCACTTGAGGGTGGACCTTGAAAGATGATTTGAAGCTGGGCACGGTGGCTCATGCCTGTAATCCCAACACTTTGGGAGGCTGAGGTGGGTGGATCAGGAGGTCAGGAGTTTGAGACCAGCCTGGCCAACAAAGTGAAACCCTGTCTCTACTAAAATTAGCCAGACATGGTGGCAGGCGACTGTAATCCCAACTAAGGAGGCTGAGGCAGGAGAATCACTTGAACCCGGGAGTCGGAGGTTGTAATGAGCTAAGAGCATACCATTGTCCTCCAGCCCGGGCGACAATATGAGACTCCCAACTAAAAAAAAAAAAAAAAAAGGAAAGGAAAAATGATTTGAATAATCAGGGACCGGGGAGCCATTTTTCAGAACTAGGAAAACAGTAGTCTAAGGCTTGGGAGGAAGAACAAGCTCTCTGGGAGTTAATGGATAATAGCTGGTGTGGCCATTTTTCTTAGAGTTAGGCTGGGGAGATGGGTTTGGAAAGTAAAATAGAAACAGTGGCTAGTGGTAGTAGGTGGTGATGTGCAAGGTGTGTTATAGAAACTTGCAGGGTGAAGGCCATAACTTTTGTCATGGGAATGGGATAACTCAATCCTGAACTAGGTAGGGGAGAGAGGGATGGAAAGAAAAGGGCAGATGGAAAGAACAGATGTGGAGGCTGGGGAGAAGAGAGTGATAGGAGATGTATCCAGTTCCAGAGGAATATGGAGAGCTGTCTGGCTAAGACTTAACTGTTTGGACATTTAATTTGGGGAAATTATTTTCCAGCCAAGTGAATAAATAATACTGGACCTCAAGTGCAAGCTTCATAAAGGGAGTGAAGGTTTGGTGTGGAAACAGCTGCATAGGCAGTTAGGGAACACTCTGAATTAGAAATAAGGAAACATGCCTCATATGCAATTTGGGGGGGGAAACTTGGGGTCTTGGCAGTGACCTTGGACAAGCCACTTGGCCTCTTGATACCTCTTTTCACATCTGTAAAATGAAGGTGATAGTACCTACTTCACCAGGTTACCAGGGAATTTGATTGTACTTGTGCGTGCCTTAAAAATCTTTTGCTTTTGTTATATGTATTTTATATTACACTTTTTTTTTGGAGATGGAGTCTTACTCTGTTGCTCAGGCTGGAGTGGAGTAGCGTGATACCAGCTCACTGCAACCTCCATCTCCTGGGTTCAAGCAGTCCTCCTGCCTCAGCCTCCCGAGTAGCTGGGATTACAGGCATGCACCACCACACCCCGCAAATTTTTTTGTGTTTTTAGTAGAGACGGGGTTTCACCATGTTGGCCAGGATGGTCTCAATCTCCTGACCTCATGATCTGCCTGCCTCAGCCTCCCAAAGTGCTGGGATTACAGATGTGAGCCACTGTGCCCGGCCCCACGCTATACTTTTACTTTTTTTATTTTATTTATTTGTGTTTTTTTACAAAAGTTTATTCTTAAATGTACAACAGCTCCAAGACAACACAATTCCAGCTGTAGGTGGCAAAAGATGCTATGGCAGGGAATACAGATGTTTAAATACAGATGAAATAAAGGGTCACCATCTCCTCAGGGACAAGAAACAGCTTCCTTTTTGCCAGATTTCTTAATTCCACCTGTGACCAGGGGCCCCTTCCCCGTGGCCTTTGCTTTTAGCTCCTCTAGTTTCTTCTGCTCTTCTTTTTCTGCTTGGAAGTCTTATCTTCCTCATCCCTCTCCTCGGCCTGCTTCTTGGGCTGTTTCAGGGGCTGCTTCTTGCCACCTTCCTGGCCTACTTTTACATTTTTAAGTTTTTAACTCGCTAGTGTAGATGAATGATACCTAAAATACATAGGAATGTTATTTATAAAGTGAATACCAATGGTTGCATTTCAAGTATTTGATCACTAATTTCACTACTTCAAACATAGTGGAAAAAAAAGTACTTCAAATGCTCCAAAATAACTCCCACCCCCTGCCACAGCATAAATTTCATGTCTCTTTTTTTTCCCTGTAAAGATGGGGTCTTGCTATATTGCCCAGGCTAGTCTCAAACTCCTGGCCACAAATTTGATCGCCTCCAGCATATATATTGTTTTGTTGTTTTAATTTCCATGGCCTTGGTAGTCAATCATACACACTGTTAATGGAATTAATAATTCATCTACATGTGGGCAAAAGTGTGCCCCTCCAAAAAGCAGCATAGAAATGAAACACAAAAGGGAAACATTTACATGGTAGTAGATGGAAATTTCATTAACTAAATTAAATCTTTATTCATAAACAACTTATGACCTCACAAGTGATACACAAATGTGGTGCACATAGTAAATATTGGGGAAATGTGTGTTTTGTTCTTTTGAGATGTGGTCTTTCTCTTGTTTCCCAGGCTGGAGTGCAATAGCACAATCACGGCTCACTGCAGCCTCAACCATCTGGACTCAAGTGGTCCTACCTCAACTTCTCAAGTAGCTGGGGCTACAAGCGTGCACCAACACACCCAGCTAATTTTTTAATTTTTTTTTATAACAACGAGGTCTTGCTCTGTTGCCCAGGCTGGTCTCAGACTCCTGGGCTTAAGTTACCCTCCTACCTCAGCTCCCGAGTGCTGGGATTATTTATAGGTGTGCACCACTACACCTGGCTGAAACGATTTTAAAAGGTAGTCATTCTTTACACCTTTCCAATGAGGAAACAGACTCAAAGAAAACTAATCTGCCTAAAGTCACCCAGCCTTTAGAGAGGTAGAACTGAGACAGTGGCCTTTATTTGGCTCCAACATCTTCAGGTTTTCCTCCTCTATCTGTCGAATGTGGACAGGGTGACTGAAGAACACATCCTAGAGGACGCGATAGCCAAGATTGGACTGTTCTGGGAACACACATGAGGCGTGTTAGAGAAGAGCCTTGTGGCCATATGGAACTTGAAACTGGGAGTGTAAGAAGTTAACCTTGTGTGGCCAGAGCCAAATACAACCACTGAGACCCTTGAACTGGTTATCAAAAGTGTCTCAGACCAGCATCATCTGGGAGTTTCTTAGAAGTGCAAAGATAGGGACTCTGGTGCCTTTGGAGCCAGTCAAAAGATACGGGCTTGGTGCTGGGGGTGGGAGGATCACCTTCAGGTTGATTGGAGAAGGGCTGAGGTCACATTACAGCCAAAGCCTGAAAGTAGGAAAGAAGAGCCTTCAGGGAAGGGACCAGAATGTGAAAATGTGCAAAGCCCCTGAGGCTGAAAAGAGGTGCATGCACATGGTCAAGGAACTTGAGCAGGGGCGAGTACACACCGGGCCTTATATGCCTTGACAGCGGGTTGGGATGTGACCAGGAGGGGCTGTTTAGCCAGGAGTGCAAACCGATGCAGTTTTCGTTTTTACAAAATTGCTCTGGCTGCTGTGTGGCAAATAGTGGATGTGGAGAGACAGGTAAAGGAGATGCCAGGAGAAAAGTTCAATATTACTTTGAAGATTCTCTTCATCTAAGAATGGAAGGGAGATAATGTAAATTCAGATATTTCCATGTGAAGAGAAGGGGAAATGTTGCTCATAGAGGATGGGACTCACTCTCCCAAGCTTTGGTGCCAGAGAATCAAGAATAGGCCAGGCAAGGTGGCTCAACCCTGTAATGCCAGCACCTTAGGAGGCTGAGGCAGGCGGATCACCTGAGGTCAGGAGTTTGAGACTAGCCAGACCAACATGGTGAATTCCCATCTCTACTAAAAACACAAATATTGGCCGGGCGCGGTGGCTCAACCCTGTAATCCCAGCACTTTGGGAGGCCGAGGTGGGTGGATCACGAGGTCAAGAGATCGAGACCATCCTGGTCAACATGGTGAAACCCCGTCTCTACCAAAAATACAAAAAATTA